TGATTTTTTGGGTTTTGTTTCTTGGGGGGTGTTTTCAGCTGTTGTTTTGTTTGTTTGTTTTGAGACATGGTATCAGTAAGTAACCCAAGCTGGCCTAGAACTCATTATATAGACTAGATTGGTCTCAAAAATCACAATACTCCTGTTTCTGGTTGTGTAACAGGTATGAACCACCATACCTAGCTTCACTGCTAAAATTTATTGCTTTGTGCCTGGCTCACACAAAGGCTTTGTTATAGATTTATCTGAGTTAATACTGGAACTCATATTTAGTAAGTAGAGACACTGATACTGTTAAACAACTGGCTCAAGGTTATGAAGCTAATAGAAGTATTAAAAACAGAGAAGAGATTTGAATATAGGACTACCTATCCCCTGAAACCCAGAATTCTCTCACTCTCTCTCCCTCCCTCCTCCCTCCCTGCCTCTCTCTCTCTCCCTCTCTCTCCCTTTCTCTTCCCCCCCTCCCTTTCTCATGCTGATATTGGGGCTTAAACTCATAGTTGATGCTATACTGTTTGAGAAACACCTCCAGTTCCAGTTTTTAGTTGGTTAATTAGAGATAAGAGTCTCTTGAAGTTGTCTACCTGGGCTGGCTGTAAACCATGATTCTCAGCTCTCAGCCTCCTGAGTAGTTAGGATGATCAGAACTCTCTGGTTCTAAGGGGTACTTGTTTCACAAAAGATATCAGGTTTCAGAGCAGAAACACATCCAATAAAATGGCAAAAACAAGGATGATAATATGCACACACAAAAGACTGATTAGGGAAATGCAAGTCAAAACCACAATATCCCACTGCAATACCCAGCAGGTTGGCTATAAACAATTTTTTTAAATGTTGACAAGGACGTGGAGAAATTGGAGTTCTCAGGCTTCTGGGGAGATGATGAAATTGTATAACCACTTTGTTTTGTGTTTTTGTATTTTAGGGGCATTAGAGATTGAACCCAGGGCCTGGAATGCTAGTCAAGTATCTATTTCTTGAGCCACATCCCCAACCCTTTTTGCTCTAGTTATTTTTTCAGGAAGAGACTGGCAGTGTTTGTGTGGGCTGGCCTGGGCCACAATTCTCCTTATTCCTCCACTGTAGCTAGGATAAGGGTACATACTGTCAAGATTTTTGGCTGAAATGAGTTCTTGCTAACTTTTTGCCTGAACTTGCCTTAACTCATGATGCTCTGCTTCTGTTTCCTGAGTAGCTTGGATTATAACTATGTGCTACCACATCCGTCTTAAGCAGCCACTTTGGGATACAATTTAGTAGTTCCTCAAAAAGTTAAACTTAGAATTGCCATATGACCCAGTAGTTCTGCTCCTCAGTTTATACCCCCCAAAAGCGAAAACCTGCAGCATCAAAACTTGTACACAAGCCTGGTGCTGGTGGCTCACGCCTGTCATCCTAGCTACTCAAGAGGCTGAGATTTGAGGATCATGGTTCAAAGGCAGCCTGGGCAGGAAAATCCATGAAAACCAGAAGTGGCACTGTGGCTCAAGTGGTGGAACACTAGCCTTGAGCTGAAGAGCTCATCTCATGGAGGAAGGAAAGCAAAGAGAAGAGGCGGGAAAGAGACCCAAGTTCCAACACAACCCTTCAAGGGCACATCCCAAATGATCTCCTTCTTCTAACTAGGCTCTAAAATTTGCACCACTTACAAATAATGCCTTCAGTTAGGGACAAGACTTTAATGCACAAAACCTCGGAGCATGTTTAGCATCCAAAGTGTAACAATAGATATTCTACAGAAAGTTGAAACCAACATTGGTCCTGTGGTAGGTAAGAAGGAAAACTCAACCAAGTTTCTTGGCATCTGAAGTAGTTTGTTTATTTGTTTCTTTCTTTCTTTCTTTCTTTCTTTCTTTTGGTCAGTCGTGAGGCCTGAGCTCTGGGCCTGGGCACTATCTCTCAGCTCTTCAGCTCAAGGCTAGCGCTCTACCACTTGAGCCTCAGCCCCACTTCCGGCTTTTTCTGCTTATGTGGTGCTGAGGAATCAAACCGAGGGCCAAGCACTCTACCACTGAGCCACTTCCCAGCCCCCTGGCATCTGAAGTGAAAAGGGAGAAGCACCCTCCAAAGGATATGGGTTCTTAGAGAAACCAGTTCTTTAGAGGCTTAGGAGGCTAGTTCAAGCCCTAGTACTAGCATAAAAACTTTACCCAGTAAACAATTCCCCATTCTCTTGATACCTGGCAACCACCTTCTATTTCCCATCTCTCTGAATTTGTCTCTTCCACGTACATCTTGTAACTGGAATTATTCAGTATCTATCTTTTGCTGTATAGCTTATTTCATATTTCCAATGTTTATTTGTAAGATAGCATGCTACCAGAATTTCATTCCTTTTTAAGGTTGAATAACAATATATTGTGTGTATATCACATTCTATTTCTCCATTCTTCTGTCAATAGATATTTGGGTAGTTTCTACCTTTTGGCTATTGTGAAAACTACTGTTTTGAACATTGCTGTGTAAATATCTGTTCGAGTCCTTGCTTTTAATTCCTTTGATTGGAATTCTAGAAGTAGTAATTCTGTGGTTTTATTTTGTAGTACTGACTCTGAAGCTTACATTGTGGCACTAGCTAGGCTGGTACTCTACAGCCTGAGCCACTCCATCAGATGGTTATTGATTTTTCAAATTGGTTACCTTTCGTTGTTGGAAAAATTAGCAATCTATCCAGGCAGTGGTGGCTCACATCTATAATCCTAACTACTCAGGTGGCTGAGATCTGAGGATTGTGGTTCAAAGCCAGCCTGGGCAGGAAAGTCCATGAGATTCTTATCTGCCAATGAACTGCCAGAGAAACTGGAAGTGGTGTTGTGGCTCAAGTGGTAGAGTGCTAGCTTTGAGCTGAAGAGGTCAGGAACAGAGCCCAAGCCTAGAGTTCAAGCCCCACAACTGATTCCTCCCACCAAAAAAAATAGTAATCTACTTGGGTACTAACCCCTCATATGAGACATATGATTTTCAAGTATTAGTTCATATGTCTTTTCACTTTGATGATAATGTCCTTTGATGCACAAAAGTTTTAATTTTTATGAAATCGAATTTATTTTGTTGTTGCCTGTATTTTGTTGTCATAGTGGTCAGGGTTGAGTTTTTGTTGTTTTTGAGGGTTTTTGTCAGTTGTCAGGCTTGAACTAAGGATTTGATTACCATCCCTGATTTCCTTTTTGCTCGAAGCTAGAGCACTTCCCTTTTGAGCCACTTCTAGTTTTCTGGTGGTTAATTGGAGATAAGAGTCTCACAAACTTTCCTGCCCTGGCTAGCTTACAGCCTTGATCCTTAGATCTCAGCTTCCATAGTAGCTAAGATTACAGGCTTAAGCCATCAGCTAAGGGCTATTTTGATTACAGATGTTAAATGCTATTAGCTTAGGCAAGAAAAAGCATATCAGCTTCTGCGAATACAGATCCAAGATAGACCTACATCTGACATTGACCTCCTCCAACCATTAGAGTGATACCATCACTATCTCCTTTTGTATCTTTTCTCTTGACCTTCTGCTGGGTTCCTCACTTACATTCCATCTCAGTTAAGTACTTCCCATAAGTACCAAGCTCCAATAGTCCTCACATCTAATAATCTAGGAGAAAAAATTAAAAACTCTTTTCACCAATTCCACCAAAATTTCTGAGACAAACTCAAATTGGTTTTCCCAGGACCAATCACTGGTGAGAGGGTCTAGATTGATGTTCTGATTTGTCAAATCTGGATTAGATGACCACCTTGAATGAAAGAGGATCAAAAAAAAAAACTTAAGACAGGTAACCACTCATCCTAAGAAAGACTATGGGACTCAGCCAGGGTCAAGATGCTCTGCTTCAAAGGACATCTCCCACTTTGGCTTTCCATGAAAGGCCTGAGAGAGGTAAAGAGAATACTTCTGATGTCTGTGAAGATTTCTTGGAGGTGGTAATGAAATAGTCAAGCGTTCATGCAGGCCAAAGGCATTTCTAGCAGAATGAACAGTGAGGATAGAAGCTGCGTGAGGCCTTGGAAGGTGGTAAGCGGAGCTAAGCATTGCCAGTATACTGGCAACTATGGTTGGAAAAGAGTCATGATTGTAAGACAATAATTGAATACTGACTGCATGCCAGAAGTGCATGGACCCCTTCCATCCTCATAAGGATCCTGTGAGGTAGGACTGGGTATTATCTCCACCTTCAACCTCAGCTGAGGAAAAAATGGCACAGAGAGGTTTCCCCAAGATGGCACAGGGAGGAGGTGGGCTACTGGGCAATAAGCCCAGAATCACATTTTTAGCCACTATAGTACCCAAGGCTGACTTGCAGGACCATCCCTCCCTGCCTGGACTCTTTCAGACTCAGTCACAGACCCAGGTATTTGTCCCTGTCCAATGAACTCCTGCAGGCAGGACCTGGTTGTCCTCTGTCATTGAGTTTTCAGTGGGAGTCTTCTAGCTGTAGATGTTAGGAGAGGGCAGGCCAGGGTCAGAAACTGTGCCAACCAGAGAGCAAACAAGATCACAGCTGGTCCCAGGAACTGAAAGTAGATCCGGGCCTGGCAGGTTGCGTGCAAGGGGCAGAGTGTGTTCTAAGAACAAAGAGATCCTTATACACTGGTTTGTCTTTGTCCTTTTTTTTTTTTTTTTTTGGTCCGGTAGTGGGGCCTGAACTCTGGGCCTGGGCGCTGTCCCTCAGCTCTTCAGCTCAAGGCTAGCGCTCTACCACTTGAGCCACAGCGCCACTTCTGGCTTTTTTCTTTTTTCTTATGTGGTGCTGAGGAATCAAACCCAGGGCCTCAGGCATGCAAGGCAAGCGCTCTACCACTGAGCCACCTTCCCAGCCCGTTTTGCCTTTATCCTTATATACTGGAAAACGAAGGAGAGTTTTGAAAGGGAAGTGATGAGATCAGATTTCTCCTGAGCAGAAGCCCTGGAGGCTACAGAAAGGGGATGGACTGGCATACAAGATGGGAACGTAAGCAGAACATGGTGGTGAGTGTAAGCAACAGTGATTGTTCCATTTTCCCACCAGGAAAAGAACAGTGAGCCAGCCTTACTCCTCCAGCCTGCCCAGCAGGGATTGAAGTATTAGGTTTTTAAAGAAGAGGTGGCCGAGTAAGAACCACGCCACGCAAATGGTATTCAGGTAAGGGGTAGGTTTATTCATTGTTCTGGCTGGCACCAGGCCATGTTGGCACTCCATGGGTCTGGGAAAGGCCTGGAAAAGAGGGCATCTGGCCCTGAGCTAGGCCTTATCTAGGGTAGGGGCAGGGAAAGGTGTGGCCACATTGAATCCAGATGTGACCTCAGCAGATGCAGATGAGACCTCTTCCAGGTGTGCCAGTTGCCTAGGTAACACAAGTACTGGGCGGAGACTTCCCTGGGAGGAGGGTGGAGTCTGCTCATCAGCCAGGAGCAGACCTTACATGAAGGACAGCAGGTCCCTGACTTCTTTAAACAGTAACCGTGTCTACCGTATCATCCTGTATGCTTTCTCAACCCATTCCCACCCTGGGTAGGATCTGGTTCAAGAAGGAGAGCAAATACTCAATCTTAGTCAATTCTGCAAGCTCAGAAGTCTAGAGTTAGGATTCCCTACCTTGAGAGCCTGGGAACCTGAGTACCAGGGCACAGGCTAGCTGAGCTATACACTAGTTCCCTCAGGCAGGAAGGAGCCTGGCCTCCTCCACCCAGGAAGAGACCAGCCCAGCTCCTCAGTATCCTGGAGCAGATGGCACATGATTCCTTCCTGTTTTATCACAGGCTAGAATGGAAGAGAAGTACCCCTTGGGGACAGTGCTGGGCACAAGGGCCAGTAGGAGGGCAGACACTGATCTCATTGGAACTCCACCCTGCAGCAGCTGAGTGACCTTAGGATTCGTGAATCCAGTTGCCTTGACACTCCCAATATCTGTGCCTGAATGGATGTCCTACCCCAGGGCCAAATGCCTCTGTTGTATTGCCAAGAAGTGTGAATAAAAAGAGCTTTAATGTCCCCGCATCCTTGGTCTAATATGCAAGGGCTTGTGAGCATCTGGCAGGTGAAGAGAGTCATCTTCAGACTCTTCCAAGCCCCCAGCCATCTGAGCCTGGCCTTGCAGCCTCAGGAGAGGAAGGCCAGACAGTAGCATTGAGCTTGAGCATGGGACAGGGACATGGAGTCTTCCCAGCAGACACACTAAGGGCCCCAACATCATCTTGTCTACTCGGAGCCTCAGCTTCCCATCTGTGACCTGCAGGCTGGAATTGTGCATTTGTGACTTCCCTGTCCATTCTGTGTTTCTAATAGAAAGGGTTTGCAGAAGAGTGAGCTGAGGGAGGAGACTGCTATGAATCTGGCATTCAAGGCACCTAACTTAGTCCTACAATCAGCTGGTCCCAAAGTCTCCCTGCCCATATCCAGGGTTCCACTTCAGGCTCCAAAATGGAGCCTCTGTCTTGGACTCTACACACAGCCTCCTAATTCCCAAATTTGATGTGCCCTGCCCTGCTTTAGAAACTGTCAAGGGCTTGCCTAACCTGACACCTACAATGTAAGGGCCAAATTCACAGCCCAGGAGTTAGGGAAATGGGTCTGGTAACTCCCTTCAAGCTCTCCCTCTGCCACGCCCTTCAGTACCTGAAGACAAAACTCTTGCAGTTGCCCCAGCCCTCACATCTCCAACAAGCCTCTGGACAGAACACCTTCTCCTTTCTTGTCCACCTCCATCAAAACATCATTTCTTCCAGAGAGCTTTTCTTGATATCCCAGGCAGGAATAGGGGCCTCTTCTGTTTTCCTGGGGACTACTGGGCCTCCATCTTCACCTATCTTTCTCACCAGCTGGGAGATCCTCAAAGGAAAGAACCCAGATTCCTGAGAAATCCTTACATACTCGGGAAGAGACTCCCTGTAAATGCACATGAAATGAGTACATGTAGAACAGAGAAAAAGAAATGAATGAGTAAAGGTTGCAAAGGAGGACATTTCTCACGAGTCGAGGCAGCCATCGATACAACTAAGAGTAATGTTAAGTTGTCAGCTGAGTGATTTCTTACTGTGCACTAGATAGGGGCTAATCTGGGTCCATTATTTCATTTGAGCCTCAGATAATGCTGCCGTTGTTCATAGGATTTCATAATTAAGGACTCATGCAGAGAGAGGTAAAGCCATTGCTCATAAATTATAGAGCCAAGCAAAACCAGGGATGGGGGACAGAGAGCTTTACCAAAGCAACGGTGATGGGTGATGAGTGTGATTGATCAGTGATAGGTGATTGATCTATGATTGGTGATCAGTGATAGGTACTAGATTATGGGTGATCAGTGATGGGTGACTATGAATACCAGGAATGGGTGTTCAATCCAGTTGCATAGGCTGGCGCTCTGAGGAAAGACAGCTTCCTTATATTTTGTATATTAGGAAGTTTTGCCAACGTGTTACCCTCTCCTGCCATGATTATCGCCTCCTACTCTATGATACAAATAATTGCTATTTTCTTGAACCAATGTCATATGCTATGCAAAAGTGCCATCCAAGCCAGCCCCTCCTACCCTCTTCAGAATTCCCCAGACCCTCAAAACAGATTTTCCAGTGGTACTACGGCCCATCCTAAGCCTTGCTCACCTTCCAGCCCCTTCCTGGAAGCCACCAAGACGGTCTCCCTGTCCAGCCCGGCACCAGCCTTAAGTGATACTTGGGATGTCCAGACTGCAGTCATTGCCAGTCATTTCTCCCTCAGGCCTGGATGTCAAGTCACTGGAAATTTCCTTACAATAAAGCTCAGATGATGGCTGGCTCCTTGGTCCCCTCTTGCCAGCCTCATCTAGGGGATAGATGTCAATAAATCTTCCCTCAGCTTGTTCCAAAGGCTCTCTGCTCTGCCCTGGCTTGAGTTCAAGGGCGTGAGAAGTGGGTACAAAGAGGAAGTGTAGGACTCTCCCAGAGATGGGGACTGATGGAGGAAGAGACACAGCTGGAGAGGCATGAGGGGTCAGGAAAGAGGTTTTGCTGAGATGGGTGAGTGAGCTAAGGGGAAGGAACCAGCTGCCTGGAGCTGAGGAGGAGAGATGAATGGGGGTAAAAACAGAAGAGTTGGTTAGGCAAGAGGAAGTTGAAGGTGACTCTGAAATAGCTCTGCTCTGAAAAGGCTGAATGAGGTCTCGTGGGGTAAAGGGTGTAGGGTTGACCACAGAAATATGGCCAAGGCATAGAAGACAGAGAAGAGAGGCTGACCCAGGCCAGGCAAAAAGTTGGGAGCAGCCAGGCACTGGTGGCCTATGTCTGTAAACCTAGCTACTCAGGAAGCTGAGACCTGAGAATTGAGGTTCAAAGCTAGCCCAGGCATGAAAGTCCAAGAGGCTCTTACCTTCAAGAAAGCTAAAAGTAGAGATGTGGCAGAGCCCCCAGCCCTGAGGAAAAAGCTAAAAAGCTAAAGGACAGAACCCAGGCCTTGAGTTCAAGTCCCAGTAACTGGCCCTAAAATAAGGTTGGGAGTAGCCAGTGGGCCAGCAGCCTGAGCAGTGAGACCATAGAACCATCTGTCACTTCCTCCAATCACACTCTGACCACAGTGAGGATGGATCAGGGTGATGGTGCTATGTATGGGCCACTTGGGTAGAGGTGCAGGCTGGCATGGTAGAGATGCCAGGAAGCTGCTGGACCAAGGGAGCTGAATAAGAGGACGTGGAATAGACAGAGTAATTTTGTGCAAGCTGGAAGCCCTAAACCTCCCACCACTGGTGGGTGCTGGGAGATGTGGATGGGACTGGGGAGGAGAGGGACTCAGGGAGGACCTGAGATATTGCCAGTGGAGAGACAGAGATGAGCAGCTCAGCCCCACCATGCTGGGGCCCTCAGCTGGGACCCTTCACAGCCCAATTCTTTATTTTTTTTAACTGCTGCATCATTTTATTTATTTATCTACCTGTATCTGGCTAGATATCTATGTTGAGTAGTTTGGGGGATTGAACCAAAGACCCCGAGCAAGCTGAAGAAGTACCCCCTTCCATTTGAGCTATACCCCTAGCTCTGCCATATCATTATCATACGATTATGAAATTTTGTTTTCCTTTTGCTGGGCATTAATTGCATCCATTTGCTATCAAGTAATGTTGTAATAAATATATTGTTTTTGATCACCTTTCTCATTGTAGTCATACATCTCTTAATGATCACAGCCTAATTCTTTAAACACCCAAAGAGCCCCAGGGGGTGACTTTAGTGGTTCCATGTATCTACTCCCAATGCCCAATAAACACACTCTGAGTACAAATTTCACCTTGCGCTACAGCCTCTAGCCAAGTCTATATTCACGATTAGGTTTCCACCTCTGGGTCTTCCTTCTTTTGAACAAGCCATGGGATCCATTCACTATTTATTTGTTTATTTGTTTGTTTCCCCTCCTGCGGCTTGAAGTCAGGGCCTGGGCACTGTCCCTAAGGTTCTTTGACTCAAGGCTAGCACTCTACCACTGGAGCCACAACATCATTCCCAGCTTTTTCTGTTTATGTGATACTGAGGAATCAAACCCAAGGTTTAATGCATGCTAAGCAAGCACACTAAACCACATTTCCAGCCCACTCGTGTATTTATTATCTACCATGTATCAGTATTAGACATGCCACAGTAGGGGGAAATGAAGAAACTAGTGGAGGTTATGTTCTGGTGGAGGAAGAAAGACAAAACAAACTAACAATTTGTGAAAAAAATTATCTTAGCTGGGTGCTGATGGCTCAAGCCTATAATCCTAGCTACTCAAATCTGAGGATTATGTTTCAAAGCCAGTCCATGCAGGAAAGTCTGTGAGAATTTTATTTCTACTAAAGTACCAAAAAAGCTGAAAGTAGAGTTATGACTCAAGTGGTAGAGTGCTAGCCTTGAACAAAAAGAAGGTCAGGGGCAGAGACCAGGCCTGGAGCTCAAGCCCCAGAATAAAAAAGATCTTTAAGGTCTGGGGTGTGGCTCAAGTGGGCAGCATTTGCCTAGCGAGGATGAGGTCCTAAGTGTTCAAACTCTCTCTCTCTCTCTCTCATACACAGACACAGACACACAAGTGTGAAGGAGGGGAAACAGCAGAGAAAAAGAGCTAGGTGTGCATGTGGCTGGGATGGAGTCTCAGTTTTAGCTAAAGTGGCAGAGGAAATCTTCACAAGTAGTGTCATCCAC